TGCATATATTTATATGGATGTGTATATTTGCTTTAATATTGGCTTCTTTCTGCTCTGACTCCAGCACAACAGCCGAACTGCTCTTGGAAGCAGTTCACACAACAGCGCAAAGGGAATATTGCAAACTTCCATGCGAGCTTCGCACGAGCGATGGGGCTTGCTCTAGGAAGGGAAAGCACGCATGTACCCAGCCTTCTGAAGGTTCGGCTGTGTTTTCTGAGCCACAGGACTGGATCCTGGTATAAATTAACATTTTCCATTCCCAGATGTTCGTTCCGCCTTGTTGCGACACCTCTTACCTAGTTTCAAGCTGACCTTGTGCTGGGCTTGAGACTGTTCACGAGTTTTTTAGTCATTGTTAAGAGTAAGGAAAAAGAAATAAACATCTGGCTAGCAGAGCTGCCAAGTGCACATTCCTGCCTTGTTTTTCAGCCTTTCAATCCCTTTGTTTTCAGCCTGAAATTCCACTTGATAAATGCACGGAGAGCCACGGGGCACTGATTAGACACAATTCCAGTCCTGACCCACGCCACTGCTCCACTAACATTGCCTCAGTGGAAGCACTGCTGACATCCACAGACCCCAGACCAGGAGTAAGACCCTGGCAGATCCATCCCATCCGTGTTTACATATGGGGGCCTGATCCTACTCCCACTGAGGTCAATGGGAGCTTTGCCACCAACTTCAATGGGAACAGGATGGAGCTTTAACATTGTTACTGCATTGAAATGGCGTTCAAGCCCATCCTTTGCCAAGATGTGGGCTTCTTAGTTTCTATAGCTGTAGTACGCTTGCTTTTAATTGGAAACAACAACTTCATTGAATCTTGGCCTGTGGTGCTGGCACGGCCTGACCAGACCAGGTGGGGTTGTTTCAGCAAAGGCTCATGAATTATTAAATGAAAGAGGGGCCATGTGACAACAGCTTCATCTTCTTTACCTTGGCTGTGCAAGATTCAGCCTGCTGCACCTCTGCATGGGTGCATTCTCCTGGACCACAGTTGCTCAGACCTGGGTCCATCCTTCCCAGCTATGGGTGCTTCCCTACAGCAGCTAAGTTAAGTCAAAGAAACTGGCTTAGTTTTCACCTGTTGATAGAAAGACCACTCCAGGGGTTGGTTCAGACCTTGGGCAGGTTGTACCACTATCCAAAGGCACCTGTCTTTTGCAGGATCCTGCTAAATGAAGGCTAAATATTTAGTCAGAGCCAGGAAACTGGGATCAAGAGCTCAGTGTGAAAAGCAGCTTTGAATCCCTTCAGAGAGATACGTTAGGGAAAAGGTAAGGTGGAGAAGGACCACTCTATTCTCACTCAACGGGATGTCTTCGCAAGGCATTGCATTAATGTTGCTTGGAATACCAAGCATCTGAGTCTTTTAAAAGCTTCCCTCTGTTTTTTATTTACGTGTGAGTGAGTCTGTGTTCTTGAAAACCATATTTGAAGATCATTAATCTGAGACAAGAAAGAGCCAGATTTATACAATGCTGTCCCACCCAGCTGTTGATCCTCACCAAACCCAACCTACGCAAGGGCTGACGCTGTGAAGCGGGATTGTACCGGACTGGAAAGCCTCTCTTTTCCATCAGAGTTGCCAGATCTGCGGTGTCGCCTGATGATCCAAGTTGACACTGGCCATGAGAACAATTCTGTTTCCTCCCTGCTGGTCACTTCCATAAATGCCACGTTTTGGGCAACACAACGTACAGCATTTCCAGGAGACCGCTCAATGATCCCATTTGCATTGCCAGTTGGGTTTTGGGTTTTTTTGAATGCTTTTTCTTTCAGCCATACATTTTAGATTAAAAAATAATAATCATGCAATCTCTCAGGAAATAAGGCTTTCAAAAATGGGGACGCAAAGCAGCATGGTCCAATGGAGATCTGAGCAGGCAGACTTTACAGCCCTGCAGCCGCTCGTTGAATATCCTTTTTCATTAAGATTAGTTTCAGCTTCTGGCCCCTGTTACCACCATAAGTCCTTTTTTTTACCCAGTGCCTTTTTAAGGGCTCCCTCATTCAAGGGAACTACAAACTCAACAACCAGTTATTAATTTCACTTGCAAATGTATGCTCCTCATCGAGTTTCGATTCTGATTTAAGGTGATTTCTGAGTGAGGAAATTACAGCCCAAAAGAGAGCTATTGGCTGCCCATTTCCTACACAGAGGAGGTCTGAACATAATCAAGTTGTTCAGAGAGCTTTCGGTCTCTTATCTCAGAAGAAAAGGGATTTGGGGTGGGTTTGAGAATACAAATGAAGAAGGACCGCAGCATACAAGACTTGTCCTGGCATTTCATCAGCCTAGATGGCAAAGCCCTTGTATCATCTGTAAGGAGGAAAATGCCACTCACAGCTGGAAACTACACAGAATTTGTATCAAGAAACCTGGACAAGTATGTAGGAAATAACTGGGAAGTTTGGTTTTGTGGGAGGAAAATCGTAAGCTTTCTATCAGTTCCATCTATTGAGTCCTACCAATTCAGAGTGGCTTAACAGCCTCTGCAAACTAGCAAAAAGCACCCATAAAACCTTTAATAAAGGAAACATTTTGGACTGCCAGTTTGACCAGGTCTTCTCCAATGAAGGGACTACATTCAAGCATCGGAAATTCTTCCTGTGTTGTAAGATGCTCTCTCCCTGACCCATAACTTCATTTAACTCTCCTCAAGAGGAAGAAAGGAATCCCTGCTAAAATTATTAGCTTTCCCAGAGAATATTTTCTTTGAGGAAATGGCCAGTACACGTGCTTTGCTTTCCCAAAGGGCTCACATGAATACAGCACAAACTCTATGCTCCTGCAGCTATGAGAATTTTTTCTCTCCCAAAGGCAAACACATATTACCCCCTGTAATACTCTTGTCCCGCTTGTTTCGCTTTCCACAGAGATGCCCAACAGGTTTAATTCATAGAATCACAGAACCATAGAGCGACTTGGGTTGGAAGGGAGCTTAAAGCTCATCCAGCTCCAACCCCTGCCACGGGCAGGGACACCTTTCACTAGAGCAGGTTGCTCCAAGCCCCTGTGTCCAACCTGGCCTTGAACACTGCCAGGGATGGGGCAGCCACAGCTTCCCTGGGCAACCTGTGCCAGTGTCCCACCACTCCCATAGTAAAGTCTAAATCCACCCTTTTGTTCAGGTGCCTGACTACCTCCAAAATAAATATTATTGATTGTGAGATTTAGATCTCAAATACAGCCAAGGGACACTAGCTGGAACCCCACTGCAGCCTCATTAGACATCTGCCTTATGCTTTAAAGGGGAAAACCAAACTAGATCAAGTTTGTGCAACATGTAATCAAACATGTTGTCAAAGGAGAGGAGGAAGACATTTGTGCTGTCCTCCTAGCATTCGTCTAGGGCTCTGTGTTCCCACATCCCACATAACGTGGTCTTGCTCAGCTTCTTGGTCTTATTTTCTGCATGTAGCTGGAGGAGTTTTCCCCTCATGGAGGTTTGCTAACCATAATGGTTGCAAAGAGCACAGGAATATTAAGAGCAGTTGACAGAGGAGCTCTCAGGGGGACACAAAGGCTCCTGGCTTACCACTCAGATTACAGACCCTTAGGATAATACATATCATCTTATTGGTATAATTATTGTTACTTTCATTAAAGCAGAGGCTTGAGAGACCCCTATAAGGGGAGGAGAGACTGAAATCATGCATACCTTTTTTATGACACCCAGTACAAACCGTGGTCTGAGCCAAAGCACCCAGAGAGCCTATCTCATCAAATCCAGCAGTACTAATGAAAAGAGACCTACACATTATTTGATAAAATGCCACGTTATGAGGTATCATGGCCTCAGACACAGGGGACATCAAAGCTACTCCCAGCTACAGCTCTTACACAGCACTGCAGCATCTCAGTCCATATTCAGCTAACTAGTTCAGAGCACCAGAGGTATTCTCCAAGCTCAGGAAAAGCTGCCTGTTCTGAAGAAAGTGGGTAGGTTTCCTTTTTGTTCTAGACCAGATCAAGCTCCCCCCGGTATTCATTTCCCCACAGCAAGGAGGAACATTTTTCCCATGCAAGGCAACTTTGACATTACGAGCTCAGTCAATTCAAATGTTCCACCTTGAGATTGAATAATTATTTAGCTGTGGTATCAATAGATACCACTAATCAATAGATACCATTAAATAAATGCCATGGTTCTGGAAATGAAAGCATGAAGCTAGAGGCTGCACAGCAAACCCCACTCTGGTTGCCCTTACTGCTGGATTTTGCAGGACAGAGTCAAAGGGAGGAGATCTTTGCAAGCAAGAGAAGTCAGAGTAGAATCATAGAACAATTTGGACTGAAAAGGACCTTAAGATCATCTGATTCCTACCCTCTGCCACAGGCAGGGACACCTTCCACTAGAGCAAGTTGCTCCAAGCCCCTGTGTCCAACCTGGCCTTGAGCGTTGCCAGGGATGGGACAGCCACAGCTCCTCTGGGCACCCTGTGCCAGCGCCTCAGCACCCTCACAGAGAAGAACTTCTTCCTTATATGTAACCTGAAGTTCCCCTGTTTTATTTTAAACCCATCACCTCTCGTCCTGTTGCTACAAAATAGTCAGAGTGAACATCTGTTCATGGCTGAAGCAGACACAGCAAACCTGCAATATGTTGTACTATAAGGAACACATAGCACTTCTCAGACTGCTACCATACTGAGTCCAATGACTGCTAATTAAGCCTGTCACATCACCCAGCCAACATGGGTATGAAGTGTTTCGGTTTGCCAGTATAGCCACATTCAAGGGGACATGATCACATATCTTTGCACTGCACCTTCCCAACATACTTCAGACCAAAAATCATTGTAAACTACAGGCTCCCCAAATGAAAGATGATCATTCACATGGTTGTCATCTCAAGCATCACAATACATGCCTTCCCACTTCTTTCCAATGCCCTGCAAGAACCATCACCCCCAAAGCATCTTTATAGTGTTCATCACTTTAACATGTTCTTGGCAGATCCACACAGAGAAGTCGCATGCATGCAACTGACCTTAGGCAAGACTTAGTGTCCCCTCCAGTGCTGCATCCATCCCACATTCTTGAGCTCTGAGACGAAACTTCTCGGAATCTGCAGCAATGGCTAGAAACATATTAATCTTCCTGATCCATCTTCCCTTAATCCACCAAGGAGCGTCCTATAGTTTGTGACTGCTGACTTATTACCCAGTCCTCCCAGAACACATTAATCACTTTAAGACATAATAAAGCTTTCTAATAAAGAGCAAACTACAGCTGTTAAGAAAAAGCAAATGCTAGGCTAGCTTTTGTGGGCATGTCACATAGCAATACTATTATAGTGAACTTCTCATTTTGGTGTATGCATTAACATTAATTAGCACAAATAGAAGGTTTGCTTTATGTCTATTTTAATATGTTCATTTTGCTTGTTGCATATGAGATGCTGATGCTAAAGAACAATGCACTCAGTGAAACCTTCACTGGTGGGGGGCAATGGTTAGGCAATAAGGTGAACTCTTCAACAGACCAGATTTTAACCTGGGCTGATAACTTGAATTTATTCAAAACATTAACCCCACATGCCTTGTCTTCATCTGTCAACAGCAGATACAGCCAAGTTGCACAAAGCCATGTACTATGGGGATGTCCATGCTTACCTCAGGAAAGGTGAGGTAGTTCATGTAGAGGTTGGAATCGCTTGAGTTAGACTCTTGCTGGTACCAGCTTGCTCTGCTGTGAATACATGATATGGTCTGAAACGTAGCCCTGGAAAGGGAATGGCAGGAGGCTGAAGACACATGACCTATGTGGAAAAGTTAAAAGGAGCCATGTTAAGGCCACCAACCAAGTAAAAGGCAGAGAGAAAGACAGAACATGGGGATCATCACACAACCAGGCTCTGGCTGAAAAATGCCCTATTGCAGCCTAAGATCTCCTCTCCTTCAGGGCAGTAAATATTCAGATAAAGAATCTGTAAGTACAAGGGGGCAAATGGACCTGACTACAGCCTTTCTGCAGCTTCACCAAGAAAAAGCTGTTCTTCGTTACAGAGGCCAAATGAAGAACCAGGCTTTTCATTTCTGTGTGCTCATGCGTGTGTGTGTGGACATGAGGAAGTTTATTATTTGTGGGTTTCACTAGTATTTCCATCAAGAAGGACAATACTTTGAAGCTGGAGGCTGGGTACATTCCCTAAGAACTGGGGGTGATTCCAGAATGCACTTATATTATTAGGACAAATAAAGCATGACATTTCCTACTACAGCACATCTAGAAGGAATTTTTACATAGTCCTTAAGGCTCCGGAGTCACTTCAGCCCACTGCAGGAAGGCAGGCACTCTGGAATCCCAGCTGCTCAGAAAAGCAAAGACTAGTTGAAAGAATGAAGTGTTTAAAATTTCATTTTTTAAGGAAGTGACTTTCCTTTGTCTTGCTTCACTGATTTTCAGTGAGCTGAATAGATTGAGTTACTGCATCATGAGCAATAGTTGAGTTACGATCATGAACACGCTTTCCTTTGGTGAACTTGCAGAGAAAATGAATACCATTTTTCCACATACCTGAAGAATAAAAGCACTTGTGGAGAGGAATCTCTCCCACAGGGAACACTTGTGTACTTTGCAGTAGTGTTTTATTAAGAGCTGGAGAGTTCAAGGGTCTCACAATTGTAAGTTTTCAATTAGCTTTCCATTGCTTCCCAAACAGTCTCTAAATACTCTGCTAAACTTTAATCCAATCACTCGATTTGACTCCAAGCATGATTTATCTTTTAATCATCATCTGTTCAATGAGGGGGAAAAGAAAGCAAACTTGTTCTTGGCCCATCATGACTCATACATGATTTTACTGCAAGCTGAGTTGTTTTTTCCTTTTAGCTGATGCCTTGGCAATTGCAAGCATTGGCTTTGGCTTTCAGTTTAGGTATGATCTTTCCTGCTTGTTTCCCCACCTCCCCACAAAGTTGAATTGCCCTTAATGTTTGTCCTTTATACCTTTTCCCACCCCATCACAGGCATGTGATTTTGTTGGTTGTTGTTGCAATACTTCGATGCTGCATTAATCAAAGTGTCTGCTATTTGACCTGCTCTCAAAACACAAACCGTGGTTTAAAAAGGGGCTCACTATTTTAAATGAACGGCGTTTTCCTGGGAGGACATATTACACAGACAGTGCAACAACAACCAGTACTTTCTGGGCATCCACGAAGAGCTTAGCTATTGGAACTGGGGCAATGATGTTTCCTAATAGACAAAGCCTGATGAGATTTAGTCCTTCCTCTATGTGACTGGCTTGCTGTCCTCCTGAGCTGGTACTCATGGTGTGCCTTGGTTTCTCCATCTGAAAATGAGATTTTCATGCAGCACCCTTAAAATACTCTTCTCCCTTTCCTAAGTTCTCCATAAAAGCTGAATGTTATAAGGCCAACACAGCACATAGATAAACGCTCTGAGGGAACTGCATGCTGCCAGCTGGGCCCCTGGGAGCTGCAGCACTCCATGCACCAGCCGCACCAGGGAATGACCTAACTCCCAGAAACATCCCAGCCACATGTTTTTGCCTTCAATGCAGTAGCCACAGTTAAATACATCTCTCCAGCTAAAATAAGGAATGGACCCATCCTTTGCCCATGAATGGCATGAACTGCAGAGACTTTGAGGTCTGAAAGTGTTGTGCAATGTCTTCCCATGCATTATTATTCATATCAGTGCCTTGTGCAACTCACAATTCCAGCTGACACTGCGGGTAGAGTCTGCAAAAAAGCTTCTCTCATCACAATTCCCTGGCTGCCCAGAGCCATGAAGCAGCTGAACTCCCCAGAGCATGCAGCTTTCCCAAGAGAATTCCCATTTAAGTCTTCCTCACTAGGAATTTCAGAGAAATTCCTTGAAACCTGACTCAAATTTCAGTGCAAGGCTAATAGTTTTTGTTAGTTTCTCTGAGTGCCAAGTTTTGGAAACAGAAGATTTCATGGAAAAGCTCAGGTTTCTTTTGTTTTGCTTTCGTGTGTGTGTGGGAAAAGCAGAATACATAACCCCTAGAGATTAAAGAACGCCTGCCTCCCACCAATGCATTCAGATGGAAAAGAGAGGAAGGCTAATAGACCTAATCAGCCAGTTTTGCTACACAAACACTTGTTCATGGGTTTCCCAGGAGCAGCGTGGCCAGGAGTCCACACTCTCACAGCTCTGGTGTAGCCAGTATTGGATGCTCACAAAGAGAGCCTAGGAATCTTCTCATGCTAATAATTTCCCTGGCATCCTCTAGCTTCCAACCACCTGCAATTTAGGGACTGCTAGAGCTGTGTCTGGTTCATGCTGAGGTTGTGACTATTTGAAGTGTCAGGATTTCTTTCTTCATGGGTTCAAGATGCAGCCTGAATATTACCAGGTGGCAATAACCCTGGCAGCAAAGGACACAGGCACACCCAATGACTCAGTAAATAGACTTGCTTGTGGGCTTGCTGAATAAGCACTCAGGTGACAAAACAGAGCCCGCTTAGGGTCTGTAGGCCCTAAGAGACTGCTAGAGAGACTGTGGTCACTGTAAGTGATATTTATTTCCTGGAAGCTGGTGTAGAGGCATCCTTCTCACATTCATAGGCAACTCATCCCACCCCATTGCCCACTTCTGATTTCCTGCCAGCATCAGTAAAGACAGCCCATTCAGCCAGTTTAAGTCGCAGTATCTCCTTCCCAGGCAGCTGAAGTTACCTTTACAGGATGATTTTGTGATCCAGCTTCCCACACAGGTCCCTAGATACCGGCAGTAGGAATTAGGTGCCTTGTTGGGGAAGCTGCACTGGACTGTGCTTCTCTGATCCATCTCCATTTGCTCACCTCTATGACTGCTGCTGTGCAGCCCTAGAGGCTCCAGTGGCAGAGGTCCTGTGTGTGAGCTGGCTCTTTCCAGTGGTTTTCCTTCTGGGGAAGGTGTCCTCTGCCTACAGGGGTTTTGCTAGCTGGTCCCCCAGTGCCAAGCCATGCTTCAAGTCTGACCTTTCCAACCAGGGAAGTCGATACAGGCATGGTAAAGTCTTCAGCCAGGAAATCAGATGCACACCTTCAGCAAAGACAAATATGGCTTGCTAACATATGCAGATCCTTTGACGGTCTATTACTCAGAGACTTTGAATCAAGATTGGATGTATCCTTCTGAAAAATACCCAACTGCATCAAGAACATCCCCAGTGGGCTTCAGGCCAAAATTACTGGGTAACAACCAAAGATGTGTGTTATAATCGCAGTGATCAGACCAGAGGATCTCAATGATTCCCTTCTGGCTTTAAATCCTACAGAACCTCACTTCTTGTTGATGCTGAGTTCACAGAGCAGGAATTTACTTAGGAGCCTACCCCAGATGACTGGCAGCCACCACAGCGGATCTAAACACCTCACTTTTTGTGGTGGGAGACTCCATTCATGCTGCTAGAATTGGCTTTTCACTCTGATGCTGGCTTGTTTGCCACTGCCTCTTTCTCTTATGTAGGCAAGTAGTCATGACTTTGCTCTTCTGCAGACCCTCCCCAAGAAATGGTGCCACCACTGACTCAGCTCAGGGAAGGGAAGGATGGGAAATGGTGGGATTAAGCTTTTTTTTTTTTTTTGACTTGGAATGATTTATCTGATTTGAACCTTGCCCAAGATTCTGTCTCCCTCCTTAGTGCCATGAGACACTCACCTTTCACATAGGCTCCTGTATTTGGTCCAGCAATGACATGCCAGCATGAAAAAGGAGGAAACATTGAAAACTAGAGTGAGATCATCATCACCTGAGCATCCTTAGAGGAGAACCATGATACTATTCGTCCTAAGCTTCCCAGGCAGGGCACGCTGGTGTAGGGTTCAACTGCATAGCTGTGTCCTTGCCATGCTTAGTAAACAGGCCATCCAGGTGGTTCCAGAATTGCTTCTTAAGACTTAATCTTTGCATTTTCCATAGGGTACATCGGGTCCCCCACAGTCCTTCAGTTGTCTCCATCTGTTACTGTCTTTGTCCTCACACAGGTTTGGGAGAGAGTTTTCTCTTCCAGAGCAGTTTATTGTTGTGGCTGACACATGATCTCATTCCCAGATTTCTGTTTTCTCTCTCCTGATTTCCTAGGGAGGTTTCTGAAACACAAAATAACTCATTTGGAACAAAAACAAAACCAGAAGACTCTTCTCTCCCCCAGAGCAGCATCATGATAACAATGCTCTCCATTAGAGCCAGGTTTTGTGCATGCTCAGTCCTGCCACTGTGTCCACTGAGTCGACCAATGCTAAGAGAAGCTAAACTGCATCCAAAGCACACCTAAGGTAGTTGATAGCAGACAGAAAGAACTACTTCCCAGATGGAGAGTAGGGCTGAAGCATCCTGCAAAGGCAAAGGTTTTCCCAAGCTATTGCTCCTGGTTTATAATGCAGATGTGCTGGATTCCCATAAAGTGGCAGCAGTTGTCAGTCAAACAGACATCGTGCTGTAAATCTACCTGGGTGACTGTTTTCAAACCTGAGGTCTCTGGGCAGGTTTACGAGGTGATGCCTGCATGAGTAACAAGTCCCATGGACCACTGCGCAGGTGCAGCCAGCAGGATGGGAGTGGGGCTGGGGGGACCAAGGACTGGGTTCCAGCACAGCCAGAGCCCGGCTATCAGTTGTACAAGCCTGGATTTCAGGCTCTGCTCTCTGGCCTGGTACTGTCTCCTCATCAGCTCTGTCCTTAGGGAAAACAGAAAGGCTAAAGAAAAGAGTATCCTCTGTACAGGTACAGGAGGCAGAAGCTGATCTTTTTCTTTTTTTTTTTTAAAAAAAGATCATTTTTCATTAAATCATGACTAAAATTAATGCAGATAATGCAGATTTTCTTGTACCTGAAGAAAGGGCACCTGCAGCTGCAGGAATTGATAACCCACTCTTAAAAGATGTTCATGCACCTTGCAGAAGACGTATTTGGTACAGTGGCTTTGCAAAGGCATTGAGATCTGTCTTCCTCAAGAAGTCAAGAGTAGAATGATTTTTAGTTCCTGATGGCTGAGTCATTCATGAATGGGAGCAAGGTTAAAGACACCATTTTGAAACATCCAGATAAAAGCACTAAAAAGAGCACTAGATGTCACATGAATGACAGATTTTTCTCTCCCTAGAGTTATTTCTCATTGGTTATGGAGACAGGGTTATTGATGGGCACTATCTGCAATCCCTGGATGCAGCATTATGTTAACCTTGCTAAGGGTATGTTCCAGATCATAGAATCAGCTGAGTTGGAAAAAACCTTTAAGATCATCAAGTCCAACCTTTACCTCAGGACTGCCAAGTCCACTGCTCAGATAGACTCAGGACAAGCAGCCTTCATAAGGTTGTTACATGAGCAACACAACTTTCCTTCAGAAGTTCCCATGAGCACTTCCCTTCCCTTGAGATCAAAACTGTACAGCTAAGACCAGGTTGATGTGCATGTTGTCTCACAGAGATGACCATTCACTCTAGTAAGCAGTCACAAACCCCAGTGCAGTGACTTGGATGAGGAACTATTTGGCAGCAACAGTCCAGAGGTCACCACCCAACTCATAAAAATCCCTGTGAAAAGGGGGAAACCACAAGTGAGTATTTTTATTGGAGAAAATGCTTTCCTTCTCCTAGAGACTGGGATTAATTTTCTGTAACTTTGCAAACACCCTGCAGAAAGGTTCAAGTGTCTGTGTTCACTCTTAAACACCAAAGACCTTTAAAGCAAAGACTGCCTTGACTGGCTTATACCAATAATGAAATAAATCAAAGTTATATTAACAATTATTCACTGATGCCTTCCTCCACAAACTTTGACATCTGATGTTTCTACCCTGTGAATAATAAAGGTCCTGTTACCTTTTTCACTTAAAATCAACATCCTGCCTGTGCTGGATTGTTTCATTTCACAATTACTTGAGCATCTCAGAAATAGTCATCATCCCTTTGAAATTCTCTTGCCCTGGAAATCCTTGTTCTGCTTTTCATTACATCATTACATTTGCTATTGTTTTAGGTTAAAAAGAAGCACATTCCATTTTTAAATGACAATACTTGCACTTTTTTTGCCCTCAGCATTTCACAGACAATGTGCCCAGTAATTCAGGTATCCCAGGCATGGCATACAGCTCAAAAAAAGGGATAGCAACCCTTTAGGGTCCACCCTTTAGCTATGACTGTGAGGAGGTCAACCAGCCAATTGTGAGGCCTCAGGTCCTCCTAACTGGGTGAGCTCAGGTCCTGGATATCTCTCTGCATATGCATCTACATATCCTGGATATCCACCTATATATCCATCTACATATCCATCTACAGTTTGGCAGTGCCATTACTAATACATGTTGAGTATTATTCACCTGGATATTGCATTCCCCAAGATTTTTGGCATCTTTCATCTGACCTTCTCTGTTCATCTGGGACCCCATTCCCAGATCCGATAATGAGCTGCCCAGCATAGTGTTGGAGTACAGCAGCAATGAGCAGCAATGACATGATGGACTTGTATTTCGGAATTATCTCGTTTGAAAGTGAAGCACCTGGTCCTTTCTACATCTGTTCTTTGTCCAGGCCAAGGACTGACCCCCTTCATTAAGCAATTAAAGATGATGGAAACATGCTCTGTGTGGAAGACTTAGATACCTAGGACTGGGAGAATTCAAACCCAAATGCCATAATTCTATTGCCTATCATAGATACAAACCCAGGACAAAGTTGCTGACTCAAGAGTCTGCTTTCATTAGACCCTATTAATTAAAAATGACTGCAGCCAAATGTTATTTATGGATCATCCCACTGCGTCTGAAGAGGTTTTAGGAAAAAATTCAAGCCACATTTCATAATCAGTGTGGTACCCATGCTACCTCATTTCCTATTGGAGACTTCTTCACCCACATCTTCCAAACAAGTGTAAAATAAGCCCAATTGGTTGTACATTCCTTCTCTCTCTGATGAATAGAGTTGCAAAAACACCAGAGTGCAGCAGGTCTAAAGTTGTGGTAAGGGTTGTTCATAGGAGGGAGGAGAACCTCAGCTTCTCTTCTGAGACCTGACCTCTCATAAAAACTGGCTTTCTAGGGGGAAATAATTTCTTGCATTTCTCTCTTTCTTCCCTTATCCTCCCCTCTTCTTATTTGTTCAGTCTCTCTAAGAGAGCCAAATTCCCCTTGAACACACTAGAAGTAGGCTTGCTGGAACATCTGCTCTCCATCTGTGAGGCCAGACATATCCCCAGGCAACACAGGCAACACTATTAGCAGTGATGGAAATGGAAAAGAACATTAAGCACTGAAGAAGCATCTGCTAAGAGAGAGGAACCCAGCATATAAACCCATGTTACTTGCTGAGCCTCTTTGTCTCTGCCCATTGCTCCTGGTGGACAAGAAGTGTCTCCTCTAAAGCCTTATTGAGGAGAAGACCTGCTGTTCTCTTGCTGATTTTGGTATTTTCAAGTGTCTAAGGTTTGTGCCTAAGGTGGCCAAATCAACACTACCCCGTGCTCAGCCAAACAGTGACTGAGGAGCTGTAGAAGCACCTAAAAGATAATATGAAATCTGGGAACTGCAAAGAGGCCAAAAATGCAGCTGCAGAGGTGTTTTGGGTAACGATGGTGCAGCATGCAGAGAGAGGGACTTCAGGCAGGAAGGCTTTTCTGCTGCCTGCTTTCTGCATAGCTGAGCCCAAATCTGCTTACAAGGGTGTAAAAGGGACTGCTATTTTCTTTTGTAAAGCAGATATACAGACAATAGATTTCATGTTCAATTCACACAACAAGAAGAAAAAAGATAGTCCTAGTGTTTCACACACTGCAACGTTCTCACATCTGCTCTTTGCAAAAACGTTTCCTGCAGCCTGTTTTCTGCTGCCTTAAACTTCCTAGAGCAGAAAGAATTGCCACAAGTAAAATCCCAGGTTACTAGGAAGGTAACCTATGCCTTATCTTAAAATAAATCCCGCTATTTACAGGGCAAATTTACCAGGACTCCATAAGTCACTGTCAGGTGGAGGACCCAATCATCCTTTCGAATTCATTGAAAATGCAGGTCATTTTCTGCTCTCTAGCCCTATATCTGAAGCTATTGAGATTTCTGCCTTCAGCTGTCCTGTCAAGGAGCTGTCTGTGGCTCATAAACTTCACAGTAGACATTCTCTTAGAACTTCTCACAGCAGCAGGACACAAGTCATGAGCACATGAAGCCAAGCATTTGATTGTCTTGATAAAAATCCTTTATGGCATGCTTCAGGAAAAGCATTTAGGCTTTCTTTAACTTAAAACATGTTTCCATTCCATTCATTTAAGTCCTTCAAATATGACTTAAACTTCTGAGTGAATTTAAACACTGGCTTAAGTATTGTGGAAATCAAAGAGAGTGAGGTACCCACTTAGATTATGCACTTGCTTTAAAGTTCTGGTGGTGTTTAACAGCTTCTACCCCCTTTGTCCAGCATCACAGAGATGCTGGACACCTGCTACTCTCCTATTTTCCAGTATTTCTCAAGATGTGGCCGACCTGGTCCACCCTTCCAGGACAGCACCCATTGCAATTATTGTAGCTGCTGCTATTTCCCAGGGCTTAGTATGCTCTGAGACAAGGCACTGAATGTCCATATTCTCCACAAAATGTATCATTCAAGTGTGATTCAGAAAATGTAATAACCAAATAGAGTGATGTTGGCTTGCTTAATATGAGGTACCACTGTGTTTGCAATTTAACACAGCGGTGCATCCCACATCTTTATCCCAACCATTCTCTTTCTAGAAGTGTAGGAGATGGCCCTGCTGTTAGAGAGGGCAGAATCATGTGTTTCTGACAGCATTATAATAGCATTTTGTTTGTCCAACCACAGCAGAATGTAGGGCTATTAACGCTTTACCAAAAAGATAAAGGACTGTATTTTGTTTTTTTCTTCAACCACTCCTAACCAAAGCCAACAACAATAACAACAAAATCCCTGTGTGAACCCTACTCTAAATAGCAAGCGGAGAGACGGAACTTGTGGAAGAACTCAATAACTGCTTCAATGGATTTTCCAGGAGAAAGTCAATAGAAAATTCATTCTCTCTTCTTACATTCATTCATATTGTTTTGTAGTCAACAGCTACCAAAAAG